TGTGCAGAGGTCTGATGACATGTGTTTGTGTGTGCAGAGGTCTGATGTGTTGAGGATGACAGAAGGCACTTGGATGTTTTTGTCCTCCTTTCTCCCAGTGTGCTCCTCTTATTACTAAACATGGATGCTGCCATAGCGAAATAATTGTTTTAGTAAAAGTTTCCAAAATTATTGGTTATCACACTATCAAATTGGAGCAGTATGACAAACCTGGAGGCTCTGCAGTTCTTGGCTGCCGTAGGGACGAGACGGTCATCATGTCTGTCTCCACATTGTCCTGTCCCCTCATGAGAGCTCGCTAACATGTCTTAGTAAACACGGAGCCAGTTCATTCTAACAACCGTGTGAGACGTGGCCTTTAATCATGCTGGCACAGTTATTCTGGTCCATTTTTGGTGAGTTTGTCTCTTTGCAGACAGTGTTGCTGGAGTTATATATGGGAATGCGTCACATCTCTTTTATTCTGTGGGTTTGATGTTCTCTCAGGGAATATTCCAGATTGTTGAGGCTCTGATATTTTTATAATCATGGCTATTTTAGGAAAATTCTTTTAAAATGTGTTACAGACATTGCTAGTTTGTAGAAAGCATGTGGAGGTTACCATGATCTCCTTCTGTATCCTTTGGTAATTATTTATTCACACCTATCTTTGATATAATGGCATTTCCCAAAATGCTTTCTGTTCCCCCTGTTTCTGCTTTTCCTAAGTGGAAAATTCACCCAGCTGTAAAAGTTTCATTAGTTACTTAAACCTCCAGTTTTATTTCTTACTTTTTGGTAATTGTGCTGTTTCTCTACATCCTATTTCTCTGGCTGTGACCACTCGTCATAAATAGAACTGAGCTAGAGAGCTCCACTAATTGGCTCCTGACATAATTGAAGTTATTCATATCTTATTATTTAAGTATAGTAGTAGCTATAAGGTTCATAATGTAATAATGCTAATTCAAAGTTTGTCATATATGACCTTTGCCAAATTAAACAAATTGTCTATTTCTCATTTTCTGAACATTTTAAATTAGCAATGGTATTGTTATTTTCTTAAATGATTGAAGTCCGTGCAGTTTTCTCCCTTTTATTCTGTTGTGATACATGACAGTAATTTACTCTACATCTTCTGCAGAACCCTTGTCTTGATGTATTACTCTTGTTATATATTCCTGTGTTTGGTTTACTTCATTTTGTTAAGAGTGCCTATGTCTCTATTCATAAGAGATAGTGGTATATAATCTCCCTCACCATTACCTTATCTTTTTACCAGTTTAATACTGGTCTCAATAAATGAGTTTAGAAGACTTTTGTTATGTGCCTTTCCCCCCAATGTTAGGTTTCATTACTGACCTATCTGAGCCGCACTTTTCTTTGTAGGAAGGTTTATGAGTACAGATTTAGATGTTTAATAGATAAATGACCATTTATTTTATTTATTTACCTTAGAATGAGTTTCGCTACTGTGACTTACCAGATATTTGTCTGTTCATCTAAGTCAGCCACTTTCTCAGCATAATGTGGCTAAGGGTCACTTACTGTTCTTTAATATTGTAGGACTCTTGGTGACAGCCTCAGCATTTTATATTGTTGTTATGTTTTTCTTTTCCTTTTTAATAGTTATATATTCAGGATTCTATAAACTTTGTTGTCTTTTAAATAACAACAACAACAACAAAAGCCATGAATTGCCCACAGAACCCAGAAGATGGTGTCAGATTCCCTAGAACTGGAGTTAGAGGCAGGTGTGAGCTGCCATGTGGGTGCTGGGAATCAAACCCAGGTTCTCTGGACAAGCAGCCATGTTCTTAATCATTGAGCCATCTCTCCAATACCTCTACTTTATTTTTAAGACAAAATCTCTCACTGAACCTAAAGCTCATCCATTGGCTAGACTGGCTAGCCAGTGAAGCCCAGAGACCCTCCTGTCCCTGGCCCCATCCCTACACCTAGCACTGGATTTACAGACCCAGGCTACACAGCAAGCTTTCCATAGATACTGGAGAGGCAAACTCAAGTCCTTGTTCTTTGTGGAAGATGTTTTAACCACAGAGCATCTCCCAAGCCCTCACATTCTGTCTTTGACTTGTTTTTTTTTTTTTTTTATCTTGTAACAGCCAAAATAAACACTTAAACTAATATGCCGTCTCCTTTGAAGCAGCACAGTTTTGATCATTTGTACTTTCATCTCCATTCTGCCTCAAGTATTTTGAAATTTCATTTGTGATTTCTTCTTTCAATCTTGAATTATTTAGAAGCTTTTTTCTTTAAAAAAAAGAATCTCCAGGTTTTTGTTGTCATATGTATTTTACTGATTTCTAACTTAATTGTTGTCAGCAAACAGGCTTTTGGTACTGTTTGTTCTTAGAAATTTAATTAGCCTTGTTTTCTGACTTGTGTTTTACATGACTGTGTATATTTGTATTTTGGATGGGAGCAGTGTGGTTTTTCTAGCTTGGAATGTGGTTTATTTATAAATTAACTATGTACATGATAATAATTCCTACTCTATTGATTATACTGTCAGATCATTAGTCAAGTTAAATAACGAGTGTTAAGAGATTCCATGTCTGCTGACATTTTGTGTATGTGCTATCAATTGCTGAGATAGAGTCAAATCTTCTAAATATATACCTTTCTTATATCTTTAATTCTATCAATCCTTGTGTCCTCGCGTTTGGAAGTGTTTATGGCTGTGTTGTTGAAAGTCTGTTATGAATGTATTTATCACTATTCTTTAATGAACTGACACTTTCACTGTTACAAAATATCCCTCTTTAGCTTATTGTTTTGCATTCTGTGTTAGCTGACAATATCTAGCCTGTGTATGCTAATGTTTGCATGGTATGTTTCCTATAAACATTTCATTGAATGTCTCTGTATTTTTGACGTGCATCTCTTGCTAACAGTATATAGCTGGGTCTTGTTCTTTTGTCTATGTTAGTAATCTCTGCCTTTGTGGAATATTTAGTTACCGATGTAATTATTGCCTAGGTTTTAATTGGTACATAGTTTAGTACTTGTTTTTCTTTTAGCTTTCCTCATTTCTGTCTTACTCTGGATGACTGTTTGTTTGTTTGTTTGTTTGTTTGTAAAGTTCTGGTGTTTCACTGAAGCTGGGTTATATAGGGATCAGACAAGCTGGGGGAAGGGATCGGGCCTCAAGGAGACAGAGGCCAGCCCTGAAATTACCAGTCCCTGGACTGGCGAAGGTAATGATACAACCCACCACCACCACACACACACACACACACACACACAGAGAGAGAGAGAAAGAGAGAGAGAGAGAGAGAGAGAGAGAGAGAGAGAGAGAGAGAGAGAGAGA